AAGAATGTTTTAAGGTTATATATTATTTTTGTTAATTTAGTGACGGTACATTTGTGTTTTAAGAACTACACAAGTGGGTTTATGTAGAACTGCACATTTTTTGTAGAACTTCACGTTAAAATAAATCCTGGTGGGATCCTTGGGAAACTTGTCCAGAGTTTTTCTATTTTAAAATTATGGATGTATCCATTCCAAGCATGCAGGTTATGCAACGTACGTTGCTGGAATACTGTCTAATGTATACATACCGAATTAGGTAAATTAAATTCAATTTAAACAAGAATTAGGTAAATCCAGGAGAAGGAAGAACTCAGAGAGAATGTATAAAACTTCAGCTGTTCATAAGCAGAAAAATCAGTAATTTAGAAGTGCGCGTATTTTTACAATATTTACCATAAATAAAATGGATTGAAATTGATTATGATTTTCTTAATATAGTACTAATTTGCATTTGATTATATGAGCAGACATTTGAGCAGACACCGCAAATTTCTGGAAACGTGTCTGGGCCGGCATGGTGTCCGAAATTGTTAAGCCTATTATCCAATATCTATACCTCTTTGGAGCCAGCCGTTAATCGCGAAACAAGGATGCGATTGCCGTGATAGCAAAAAATGCACGAAGAAACTTGAAGCCGGTTCTACAATTTTTTGGCAAATCCATATCTTCTCTCCGACAAACTACATTGAAAATCATATATATTGACTTTTCTACTGCCTGGCTTAACTTCGCGACAACATTCACCGCATGGGCCGGTACAAGCAATCAACTGTAGGAATGGGTCTGACGCAGAGAAAGCATGTATGGTTAAATTACTTGCCGAAACCGTATAAGCATAATATAAGTATAGAATAAATTGATATATTTCTCATATATTTTCGACAGAAAAGGAATACGATCTGAGGACAGACAACAGGGCTGAGGAGTCCCAAATTAAGTCCTACCTACAGATTACATTGACATTGTAAAACAATAGAGACAGGGTTACAAACTTTAATGAAGCTTCAACACGAAATTATATGACACGATCAATGCGTTTCAAACCATCCTTACACTTTCCAAAGTTAATATAAACAATACACATGGAACGCCCCGATATAAGTCGCCTACCTTAAAATGAAGAGACCTAAAAATAGCAAAAAATGTTTGGGAAATGACCAAGTTACAAAAACGTTTTGTACATATAAATGTATTAACATTGTACAAAACTTAGCCAGTGTTTCATGATCCGATTTATCGAAAAATCATGCTTCGATTTTACTTATTTTTATTTCAATCAGGATACCGACTCAAGAATAGGATCTTGCGATCGATTACAGCAGAAAACGCAATGACATGTGCACATCACTGCGCGTTAGAAAAATCCAAGTGCAAGTCGTTTAACTTCATTGCCGATCCTACGTTCACAGGAAATTGTGAGCTAAACTTCGGGAAAGCTCAAAAGCTTGATGATGCAAATTTAGTTCCACGAAATGGAATGAAATATTTCGAAGAGATAAACCAAGATGCGGAAGGTAAGACTATGTTATATATACAAATCAACTCGCAAAATATATAAATTACTATAGAGACATGCATGCAGCAAACCCTCGACTATATTTTCCAAGAATTGACTTAATTTAGCATGAAGTATTAGTGATTGGCCAACACTGAACGTAGGCTCGAGTTGTGGCATCAAGTGTTAGCATGACAACTCTGTCAGAATACTGTGTTTTAAATTCGTATTTTTTACATTTTTCTGTACAAAACGGAAATGTTAGTACTTTTAACTATATAATAATTAATTTCTGAAATATAAACTGTAGGTATGCTTTTCTGCATTGTGTGAGCATTTAATACAAAATTTAATCTGAAACTTTAGACTTCCTAATGCTCTCCTTGCCCCGGGTGTAATTAGTACCCTCGTCCCGGACTTACGCTCGGAACGACCCTGCCCCGTTGGCTTGGGTATTTATAACTGACATGAGCATAACATTATGACATGGTTTTCAAAACAAAACTTATATGCTTTCAATTCACATTTGAAGCAACGCGTGTCAGACGATTATAATTAAGGTTACTGTTGGTGACAAAACCGCGCAGAAACGGTACGTCGGTTTCAACTCACTGCATATTGTCCTTGCCACTGTGCCAAATATTTCGTATAAAACTTAAAACAAAAGATTTATTGTTTGACCATTAGCAAACCAGACAATTGAAACTAAGAATATTGGCTTTAATTCATTACTGCAATAAAATAACTTTGGATGTTGGTACTCCTCAGAAAGTAGCTATACAATCTGTAAAATGTATGCATGGCTGCCTGTGATATAGCTATCTTAAACAATACATGTGTATGCAAATCGGTGTATGCAAAAATTAGAATTAACCACATATATTTATACATTGTACTCGATTCGGTCAACAAACATGGGTTTAAATTTGCTTTGAATTAAAAAATGCCCCTCAGATTCATGTTGTGTGAGGCTTCACTACTAGTGAGGCGGATATGTGTAAAATTATTGATCAGTAGTTCCCGTTGAGGTTAAAAGCATCAAACTTTTACAATTGATGTAGTTTTATTTGCTTAATAGATATTTGAAGTGGGGCCATCGCTATGTTGCTGCTAACTCCTGAAAACGAGTGATTAGTGATTATCTTCTATTGAATTATATTATAGCCAAAAAATGTGAAATTTTGTATTCAATTACAACAAATATGACTTGCATCATCAGAAAACTTATAAAAAAAGCTGCATATTAGCCGTTTAGACAGATTTTTGATTTCTGAAATAGTTTTCGAATTATAAACTGTTAAAAACGCATTTTCAAACGTCGAATAATGAATTTGGGACTTTTAGCGAGATAATGTGCCTAATTTACAGCAATAACCATTTGAAGAATAAAAAACTGTTTCAAAGTGTTTTACGTAGTTTTTTATACAAGCTTTCTGATGATGCAAGTTATATTTGCCGCGATTGAATTCAAAATTTCACATTTTTTGTTGTAGTAGAATTTAATAGGAAATAATGCTAATAGCATCGTAACTCTCTAAAAAAAACGGTTTCACGATGGCCCCACTTTTGCATGTTGTTCTACTCATAAAAAGATGCTACTGTGCACAATTTGGTGCTTTTAACCCTCTTAGGAAACATCCATGCACATATCCGCCACACTTTACAAGCCAGGGCTGCAATGTCACCTGAATACCATTTCAAAAATAGTCCGCCAATTTCGTGCCTCAGTGTTCTAGGTAATGGCTTTCTATAGATAATGACTGTTTCTTCTCAGTACAGTTTACGGAGAAGGCGGAGCAGTAGTTAGGTTTGGTGTTCATTTCTCAAGTACATGTGTTCAGTATATACTCCCTGCTAAATTCTATATAGTCTTTGAGGGTTCACCTTCAGTGGGAGCAAATAGTGTTTATCTTTTTAAGAATGAAAGTGTAAACACATTACAGCGTATCTTTCAATTAGCAAACTTTGTAATTTCTTCTTTTATTGGAAGATGAGATATTGGCAACTAAAGAGCCATCTAATACACCTGAAATTGCTGCAAATAGTCCAGCTCTGAAGTTTCGTGGTAACAACATAGTCGAATACGGGATATCTAATAAATCGCAGTTGTTCGAAGATTTGACGTCGATCAGTGCGTGTTTCTGGATGAATGCCGAGAATTCGTCCATTTCTGGTCAAGAACCTGCTATTTTGTCGTATGCTGTGCCTTGGTCTGATAACGAATTCCTGATCGTACTTGACCCCGAACTAACTGTATATTTTGAAAAAGGGAAAGTCAGGTAGGAGATCAAAGCAACACTGCTAAACGTGAAATGAAAGAGACATGCACGTAATTCATGAACGCGACATATATGTACCCTTCGTAGTGGGCAATGAACTGAACAGGTTAATGTTTCATTAATGGGCAATGAAGCAGATTAATGAGTGAGATGCCAACAAAATCTTGATATTTACCCATAACCTATACCGATGCATGCAGTACCCTAGTATATGTGCATGAACTTGTGATTAGAGCTCGACAACTGGCCTCTTTAACTCAGTTGGCTAGACCGCGCCACCGGGAATCGCAGGGTCGAATGTTCGATTCTTGCCTGGGATCTAAAGTTGCATTCATTCGCAGTTGTTCCTGGTCTGGTCTAATAAATGTATGTATAAATATCCACTCGACAATATCCATCTACTATAACCATCTGGCTTGTACATAGGCAGCCATCCAAAGCTGTACTGATTTAATTTAATAACTTTGCCGTAACATAAATTACAAATTCTGGCAGGGTTCCCGCAACAGCATAACGCCAATTACTGCAGGCCCAAAAATGATCAGCCGTTAAACATTTTGAAAATTGTTTATTCGACGTGCTGACTAGATTTAAGGTAGGCGACTATCAGGAATGGTGAAACTATTAAGATGACTAAATTCTAGCCGAAAGGTCGAACAAGCAATTTTCAAAATGAACACCGAGTGAGTGTTGTTTATCACGAGTCTCGATAACAATGCTCAGTGCATGGTTCCTGCAATTTGTCAAAATACGAAACGAAATACAAATGGTAGTTAGAGAAGAGGGCTCATATGTTCTAACGACTAAAGGAGTGCTTACACAGAGACTTATACCTTACCTAGGACTGACCTACTGCAGAACAGTTAGTCCTGTAGTGTAACGCACTATAGGGCCGACCTAAGACCTTGTTTTCAGGCCAAGCGTTAGAGGTGGCCTGAAAACATGGTCTTAAGTCAGTCCTATAGGTAGGTCTAAGGTCAGGCACTGAGGCCTGCGGTGTAAACACATTTTCACTGACCCTTGTCGTGCTCGAGGCTAGTTTCCATGGCAACAAATGTAAATTGGAGTCTTAAATGTCAGCACTCAGCGGATGTCATTTTCTACTTTGTACAGTAATTCGTTTCGCACGTAAATATATATAATGGCCAATTCAATGGGACTTGGGCATTTAGTTAGGTAACAAATGTGAACACATCGTGTGAAGTCTTGTTAGGCACTTCTCTGGTGCAGGTAAAATGTCAGGTAAATGTCAATCTCAAACTCATTAATAATTCATGAGTAAATTAGCCAACTTGTTGCTTACATGATAATACTGGATAATACCTGTTAAAGTATATTGATCTAGTCCTAGGACTGGATACAAATTAATTCACCTCACTTTGAGTAGTGATTTATTCGTATGAGATGTCATTCCAAATTCTCAAATTCTCCAATTTGATCAAATTGCGCGGACTTGAAATCTAGTCCAGTCCTCATAGTCGTATTTGAAATATTACGTCCCCTTACGCCCGTATTCTAAAAGCTCACTCACACTCGATGAGTGGAGGTTCAATCTGAGCTTCTATTGAGTGTCAATGCTGTTTTTGAATAGCTGGAGGATGAGTAGTCACATAGTAAGGTACGACACTAACCCTCCAGCTATTCAAAAATAGCAATTGAAACTCAATAGAAGCTCAAATTGAACCTCCACTCATTGAGTGTGAGTGAGCTTTTAGAATACGGGCGTAAGTGTATAAACACGGCTTTAAAATTTGGCGACGCTGCATTTTCGGCAATTAAACTGGCAGGATCTCCAGTAACAATCATGCCGTGTCACCTCTTTCAGCGTGCGGCACATCCATGCAGTGAATAATTATGATCATGGAATCAAATGTTAAACACGCGAAACACGCGTTTAAACGCAGGTTCGAACGTGGTAACACGAGCTCAACAGGCAAAAACAACATGCACGAAATCACGAGCTAGATTTTAGCGAAAAATATCACGATAGTCATTGATAATTACGATCATATTGAATATATCGTATACAGGCATATTTCTACTTTAATTGTTACGATAATAGTGAGTAAAAATATCTATAGTAATTCAATCATGGACGTTATTATAGAAGAAAGCTTGCCAGTACGAATTTAGAATTTGTTTTTGTTTTTAGCACTGGTTTGGACTTAATAGATGGTCGAAATCATCACGTGTGCGTGACCTGGACATTTGCAGATCACAATTTCACGACCTACTTAGATGGATCACACGCCAAAACATTCCCTGCAGCCAGAAAATCGAAACAATCAATACAAGCTGGTGGAATATGGATCATTGGGCAAGACCAAGATAACTTTGGTATGTATATACATATACTATATATATATATATATATATATATATATATATATATATATATATATATATATATATATATATATATATATATATATATATATATGGTATATATATATATATGGTATATATATATATACTATATATATATATATACTATATATATATATACTATATATATATATATATATATATATATATATATATATATATATATATATATATATATATATATATATATATATATATATATATATATATATATAGTATATATATAACCTCTTTGCTATATACCCTGTATGTATGCATTAAAAATGCTACAATTAATATATAATTTCCAGGCGGTGGCTTTCAAAACAGAAATTCATTTCAAGGCAATTTGACTGAAGTTCACGTTTGGAACAGAGTCCTTACCGCAAGTGAGATAAAAGATATCGCGTCCAGCTGTGTTCCAACTATGAAGGGCAACCTGAAAGCGTACACTGATTTTGAAATTAAAGGTGAAGTGGAAACATATATACCCAAATGTGGTCTCGAGTAACATTATTTTTGAAGTTCTCGTATGGTTAGAATGCTTTGCTTAAAAGATTAGTGTGACACCATGCATGGTATCAGCAGACATGGATTTTTGGTTATCTTACCCAAAATCAATAAATAACGATAAAATACCTTGCTCTGTACATTTGCAATCTGATTCTTATTAAGATTCATATAAACGAAGCAAATATTCTTATATGGGATGGTTTAATAAATATACGACGGATTGTGAAAATGCTTTCCAAATTAACTGATCTACTCTGTCCATAAATTAGCCGGCAGCATGTAGACATTCGATCCCACAATCAATCAATCAATCAATCAATCAATCAATGAAAGCATTTATTTAAACACGATAAAATTTACAGCATTGCTGTAAGTTATCGTGCAGTTAAGTTATTATCCTATAGTTAGTATATATTACAAAATCCAAAGTATAAAATATTAATTAACCTATTTTGTTCCTAATTCGTCTCAATATTTCCTCTGTATTTCACTTTTAAAAGTGGCTATATTTTCTATAGCTCTTTGGTTGTTTTCCAAAGAATTCCATAACACAGCAGCTTGATAAAAAGTTGATTTTTCAAATCTTCAGTTTTTGGTATTGGTATAATAAAACTGTTTGTTTCCGTCTCAAATTATAGCTACTGTTGTATTTTACATGATCCCCATATTGGCGTTATACCGTTTGTTGGCGTTATACCGTTGGCGTTATACCGTTGGTTTTTGTTGGCGTTATACCTATTTGGTGGCGAAGTGGTTAGCGCACTTGCCCTTCACCTCTAAGGTCGTGGGTTCAAATCTCAGTGGGAACTTCTCAATGTGATTCGAACCCAGTCCTCATGTGAAAAGAGTAAAGTCAACGCTCTGCCGAAAGTCGTGGGTTTTCTCTGGGTACTCCGTGTTTCCTCCCACAGGGAAAGTTGACAGGGTGGGTTAGGGACATAGGTCTGAGGCAGATCATTAATGAGGTATGGACTAATAGCGGCTGCTCAAGCGCCATTTGTAAGCTCAAAGTCTACCTCGGTCTGTTTCACGTCAGTCCGGTTCTATCTATCTATCTATTCATAATGTAACCAGTCACTGAAAAGCCCTGATAGGGATTGTGCTGTAAAATATCTGTAATTTGTAATGACTAAATTCCTCTTGGTTGGACTCCGAAAGTTCATTTGACAACTTTTCTCCGACCGTGGAAAAATACTCATTTAATGTATTCGACTTACCCTCATTCGAAATCTCCAGCGTTCCATCGGTTCTCCTTACATCCAATACGTAATTTCAATAGTTTTGGGTTTTTTGGGACACCCTGTACAGGGTATTTCATTGAGTTGTTCGTACATGTCCCAACTAATTAGAAAGTCGTTTGTTTTACGACTCGCTAACTTGTTCGAAGCAATTATATAACTTGTCAGATGAATTCAATAGAATACAGCGTCATGCTTGATATAAATTTGAAAGGCTATACTTTTTTTTGATCAACACTGTATGCATTAATTGCACCAGAAAGTTAAGGAGGAGTTAAAGAGTTTTAAGATTTTTTAATGCTTCGTGTTTAAAATGTGCATGTCTGTTCAATTTATACAAGCATTCTTTGTTCACTGTTGTTCAATTATACATCAAAATTTTGACAGACAGGTTGCTGGTTGCGTGATCATAATATTGCTACTATTGTTGAACGAGAAGTATTAGTAATGAGTATGTCATTATTGCTTCATGTATAACGAAATATATAAGGTCACCAAATATATCTCATCCTTAATTATCTCTATATAATATTATAAAAGAATCAATTTCGTCAACAAGATATTTCCGCATCCTAATGCGAAAGCTATGAAGCGAGGGGCGAGCATGCACCCAATATTAGAGACCTTGCGATGTAGAACGGGGACGTGACGACGACGTCTAGAACAGAAACCACCAACCGTCAGTTTCAAATAAATTATTGCAAGGAAACTTATTATCTGTTGTAAAAATTTGGACTTCATTGTTGGGAAGGTTAATACTTTAGTCCTGAACAACTTTACTAACTAAGTATACTCATCGTGTCTTGAATTACAGGCATTATAGAGACCTTGCGATTTTAGGACGGCAACGGCTACCAATACAATAGAAAATTGAAAATAATTGAGTAATTACAATATATGAATAATTTAGACATTGTCCTCGCCCTGTTTACAACGCCAAATCACAGATTTTCACGTCTTGATAGCCACAACAAGTGCAACTTTAGCTGGGTTTAGCAGTACTCTTTCCAACTATAAAACCCATGTCTCCTAACTTATAAAACTGTATTAAGTTCATACGATTGACAATATACGACGAACTATCTTTTTCTCATATTTTGTGCTGCAAAGACATTACAGGTGAATATTAGAAGGGATTATTAGAGGGAAATTGATTAGAGGGGAATATTGAATATATTCCCTGATAAGAACAAAGGAAACCGAGCAATGTGAAAAATAATTAAGGCCTGAAATAAAATGTTGATTACTTCTGATTTATTCGTAAACTTTGAGAATTTTTCTTGATAAACTTCGATGAACTTCAAAAACATACAGAATACAAAAGAGAGCAGATTGTTCATAATTACTACGTCATGCATAATTAGTACGTCATGCATAATTATGATAAGTTATCACGATAATGTCAATTATTTTCTACACATTCCCCCCTTGATTGACCAAGGTCAATCAACCGTCCGTTGTCATTAATCAATAAATGTCAACACAACGTCTCGCAGCTTAATTAACAGATCAATCTTTACAATCAAGTATTAAAGTCTTGTATTGCATTAGGCACATCGTCTCGAACGAACTTAATCTGTGGAACAGTGTCTGGGTTTTTTGTAGAAATTCCTATTGGATGCAATCGTTGAATCGGTCTTTGTAGTTGCTGCACTCGACCTCCAGACGATGTTCTAATAGTTGCTGCACGTACATTCCCGTCTCGACCATGCATTAAATTTTCAACTCTACCGACTTTCCATAGCTGTCGAGGAATTTTATCTTCATGAACTACAACAATGTGTCCCTGGCTGATCGAATCACGTACTGAACCATTCTTTACTTTGTGCTGTTCTCGTAGTTCCGTCAAATATTCCTTACGCCAGCGTTCCCAGAAATGATTTAATACTCGAGTCAGGAACCTCTCTCTCCTTGGTTCTCGTTGGTTGTCTTTTCCTGCGTTTTTGGATTACTTAACAGTCGTCGACCAACACACAAGGTTGAAGGCGTGAGTGGTTCGCACATTTCTTCGTGCACGTACGTGAGCGGACGCGAATTCAGAATTCCTTCCACTTGAATTAAAACAGTTTTAATCGAATTATTTGTCAACTCACACTGGGTGGAAAGTGTTTGTATAGATAACTTTAATAACTAAAACTCAACGTATAAATTATATGTTTCTCAATAATTCGCGCACCCTTCTCTCAAGCACATGTTCTGTCCCGTCATGCAATTCGCGTTCTATACCTTTCTATCCTAATCATGTTCATAAATATCCTACACTCCCCCCGTTGACCATGACTTATGACTTACAGTGGTCAACTTAACAGTTTCATAACTAAAGTAATCAAATGTTAACAACGTTAATGTCTACAAACTTCCTGATTCAATGAGTTCCTGTCTCTTCGCTTGTGCCTTTCTTGCTGCCTCCCGTATTGGTCCCCTTCTCAATCCCGTCTTCTGATCTTCTTTCTCTGAAGCGTTCTCCGTATTATCTCCTGCCGTTACAATTTCTTCATCGCCTTCCGACAACTCAACCGGGTATAATTTCTGAATTGGCCGTCTAATTTCCGTACATTTTCCTCCTTTGTCTGTTAATTTCCTAACTACAGCTCCGCGAATAGCCCCGTCCTTTCCTTCTATCAGTTTCTCGATTCTACCGAGTTTCCGCTTTACTCTACGTACGTTCTCTTCGTGAATAACTACAACATCTCCAACTTTAATACAATTTCCTTTCTGTCGTTTAGTCTTCTGTCGATGAACATTGCGTAACTCAAGCAGATACTCATTCTTCCATCTCAGCCAAAAGTGTTCCTTTAAAGTTCTAAGATACGATACTCGTCTTGCAACTTTGTTGTTTGTTATCTCCTCAATTCTCGATTCCTCTCCTGGCTTAACTGCATCCAGCAACGAGTTTATTCTTCTTCCATTTATCAAGTGTGAAGGTGTAATTGGTTCGTCTAGGTCTTCCGTAGACACATACGTTAGCGGTATCGAGTTTAATGTTGCTTCTATCTCCGTAAGCACGGTATAAAGTTCTTCGTTCGTGACTCTGGCATTTTTAAGAATCTTGTATAAACATCTCTTCACACTCTTAATTAGTTTCTCGAAGAACCCTCCCCACCATGGTGCCTTCTCAATGTTGACTGTCCATCGGATTCTTTGATCTGAAAGGTATTTCTTCACTTCTGAAATCTCGAATAGGGCTGCTAATTGTTTTGAAGCCGCTTTAAATGCTTTTCCATTGTCTGATTTTACCTCTCGTGGTATTCCTCGGCGGGCTGTGAATCCCCTAAAACTTCTTAAAAAGGCTTCTGCCGTCATATCATTCACAACATCCAAATGTACTGCTCGCGACACAGCACAAGTGTATATAACCATGTAAACCTTCTCCATGGCCACTGCGTTCACTTGTTTCACATACAGTGGTCCAGCGAAGTCCACCCCTGTGTACGTGAAAGGGTGATCTTTCGTGATTCTAAATACTGGTAATGCTGGTGGATCTGGTGGTTTGTAAGCAATTCCTTCCTGTTGTCGACATACTGCATATTCATGTATCAGTCTTCGCACGTATTGACGACCTCTAACAATCCAAAATTTCTATCTAATCTCTGTCAAGGTTTCTTTTACACCAATGTGTTTTACTCTTTCGTGACCTTCTCTCACTATTAGTGACGTTACATAATGTTTCGCATCCAAGATTGCTGGGTGTTTCTGCGCTGTAGTTAATTCTGCATTCTTGAGTCTGCCTTCACATCTCAAAATACCTCTTTCATCACGGTACAGTCCGAATTCTCGCTCCCATTTTCTTGTCTTCGCCTTCGACATCAGTTGAAATTGAACATCGTAGCATGTAACATGTAGCATGTAGCATGTAGTCTGTTAATGGCTTTGCTTTAACGGTCGGATCTATCTTCTATTTCAACATCTGGATAAATTTTAACACTATCGCTGTAGTTCTCTATAGTTTGTTTAAGCTACCAAATCTCTTACAATCGATAATTTCACCAATATGTCCTACTTCACAGGTCGTGTTAAAGGACGACGTTTCTGAAGGTTTCTTTGACTTCTTTAATATCATTTCCTTGATAAGTTCCTGCTCTGAAGGTTCATTCTCATTCATACTTGTTTGTTTACTCGGATCGGCGTAGATCTTCAGCCATTCTGGTCCGCTAAACCACATACTGTTTGATAGTTCTACTGGGGATGTTCGTCGCGACGGAATGTCAGCCGGGTTATCCTTGCTTGCACAGTGATTCCACAGTTCTGGTGGAACAAGAATTCTTATTTCTAGGACTCTATTTTGTACAAACTGTTTCCACTCACGAGTTTCACCACATATCCAGAAAAGAGCAAAAAAGAACCAATGACAGCACCCAAATATTAACAAACAAACTCGCATTAAAATGTTGTGGGGTTTTCTCTGCTTATTCAGAACATAAACAATGTGAAATGGCTGCGTTTTAACTCCAAAAAAAGCAAGCAACGCAGTCAGTAATTGCCAAATTTCCAAGTGCTCATTTTCAACTAAAATCGGAACAGGCAAATTTGGACGAATTTCAACAGGAAACCAGTCTCAAACTTCAAATCGTGAGGGAAGTCGTGCGACCATATTAGCATTTATAATGTGTGCTTCGCTGTCGCCATTGTTATAAATAAATTGTCTCACTTATCAGATCGTGTGTGCAATTCTTGTTGGCGGAAAGTACGAAATTTATTTCAGTTATTTCATTTGGTAAAGAACTCTACAAAAGAAGAGAGCGTTCAGAGTCCAGATTGTTTCGTTTCAAACGGCAATTAATACCGTATTCTGTTTCGCTCTCTCAGCGAAGCCTTGTAAATCGCAAAGTGTTTCGAATAGGCTTACATGCAACTGCATCTCAACATCAACCAAAAGATCATTTTCTTGGGGAACATATAACGTAGTCAAATCTGTTTGAAATTAATGAAACTCAAGTAAAAGTTACTATAGTTTACCCCAGTCGTAATGTTGCTATTCCGACACCTCACGACAAGCTATCCCCAGTAGCGTAGCCAGCCCGACGATTAGTCCCGCTATGCAAATATTTTCGTGTTTATGGACTGTGAAAACAATCAATTTCTAAAGAAATGAATAATGATAATGATTTGAAATTTGCATAGCGGGACAAATTGTCGGGCTGGCTACGCCACTGGCTATCCCCATTTTGCATAACGGCAAAAACATCTCTTCCTTGAAGTAAACAATAAACAGTCTGTTCTTGTTCCAATAAACAGTCTGTTCTTGTTCCTTGTAATCGAAAAAAGTGATTAATTTTCGAATTTTAAGCTTATCGAGAAAATATCGAGGGCCTTTGTGATGAATCACTGACCTAATTATAGAATCCAACAGCAAACAGCCAATCAGAATTCCGCGTTCGTGGGCGAACGCGGAAAGTACAAAATACCGGGCCTTGCTTGCAGGCCCACTATCAGTTCCCTTGGGCCTGCACGCGGGCTAATATATCCTTTCAATGCTTCCTTTACATGCGTTATTGATCTTGCCAGTATTAGTGCTGAAACAGTTCAAGTCTCGGTATAGATTGCTTCGTCAAAGGCGGTACTCTAGTTTTTAAAGCTACGATGCTCAAATGGACGCCATCTCTTGTTTCTAGCCTTAAATACACAACCGCCGCATACTCCTTAACTGATCAATCACAGATCCTTCCAAACTAGCGGTGATATCTTCAGATATAACTCCGTTGAAATAACACCGTGGTATTTTAATTGGTGTCGCTTCTCTTAATTCCTGTTGTAACAATTTCCAAGTATTGGATGACTCTTCATCTAACGGTTCATCCCATCCAATGTATTTCTTAATTAAGCTCTGACAAAACAGTTTCAGTTTTACAGTCAGTGGCGTAATAATTCCCATAGGATCATAAATTTTCGACATCACTCGAACAACATATTTCTTTGTTGGGTGTTGTTTGGGCTCCTCGTCAAGAAATTGCTTGCAGTCGAAAACAAACAATCTTCTTCTGTGCACCACTGTACTCCGAGTATTTTCTCTGTCATGGGTTGCGAACTTTGCGGTCCGGTCATAGTTTTTGCAAACGATTCGTCTTCTTCTTTACAGGATGTGTCGTTCTCGAATTTCTTTCTCTTCTCGTCCACAGTATTCAGATGTTTTTCATTTTCCTTTATTCTTTCCATCAGGGCTTTCGAATTTGACACAAACTTTCTGGCGTTGAATCTCCCTTCAGCTAGTCTCTTCTTCAGTTTGATGTACAATCGATAGGCTTCATCTTCTTCTTCGTCGCCTGTTGCGATATCATCCACGCATAATGACTGTAACAATCTTTCTACAAACTCTGGGTCTTCCCTCTGGTATGCTGAGATATGATACTTTAAGGTTGCATTCAACAAAAAGTTCTCGAATATAATCCGAAAGTGACTCGAGTAAATCTCAGTTCGATCACGTGTGGAGTTTCTTTCAAGGGATCATTAACCCATAAGAATCTAAGTACGTTGCGATCTTCTTCAGCCACTGAGATCATGAGGAATGCTTTTTCGATGTCTCCCGCCAGCGCAATCTTGTGTACTCGGAATCTCATCAGAATATCTGCTATTTTCTCAGTTAATGGTGGGCCGGTATACAAGCATTGATTTAAGGATGGACCACCACTCTCCTTCGACGATGCATCGCAGACCACTCTAACCTTTGTAGTCTCTCTGTACTTGCGCACTACCGGGTGATATGGAAGGTAATGCAATTCGCCAATTACATCACTTTCGTTGCTTGGAACCTGCTCAACAATACCTTTCTCTAACTGTTCCTGGATCACAGAGTCATATTCTCTCAGTATTCCGGGATCTTTCTTAAGTCGGGTTAACAATGAATTTAATCTCTTCTCGCTAGTTTGATAATTATCATGCAGTATCGGGTGTGACTCTCTCAATAGTAAACTTACTTCGTACTTCTGTCCGTCAAAGGAAATTCGTTGGTTGAATGTGTCATAGACTGAGCTCTCATTAGGTTTAATTCCAAGTGATTCTAACTCCCAGAACTGTTGCAGTGTTTTGTCTAATGTCTCAACGCTATGTTTCTATGGGTTTACCGCGACTTCACATTTCAGGACATGCGTAGTAACAACATTGGTAGATGAGTTAGACTGAACTGGTATCTCTTTAACTGGACCTGATAAGACCCATCCTAGCTTTGTATGAATAGCAGCTTGTCCAGATTCACCTCTGGCAACTCCCCCCGTTACTAGACTAGGTTCCAATGTTGGTCGGCTCCCACTAGAACATCAATCGGGGCGTGTCCCTCGCGATCATCAGCCAACTGTAAATTTGACAGATGTGGGTAACTCTTCACAGCATGCTTCAAAAATGCCCTTGCACTGGGGCACTACTTAATGGTACACTGTTAGCTGATAATTTCACATCGTCATCTCCGTCCACACTAATACACAAGTCCACTATGTCACTTACCTGAGTGGTTCCAAAACTTGATCCAAATGGTTTGATTGTCAACGATTCTGAATGTGAGGTTACTAAATTCATTTCATTTCTAACTCTTTCTGTGACATAGGTTCGCTGACTCCCTCCATCAAGGATGATTCTAGCCTCTTGTTTACGATGTTGTTTATCTGGTCGATAAATTGTCGCTTTATTGACACACATTGTTGATTACTCTTCAGGTACTGTGTTGTCTTTGTTCCTTTGGTCTTGCTTTGTGCTGTTCTCTGCTCTATTCTGCTTCCCGTGTTCTACAGTTTGTGACTTAACACTCCTCATTTCTTGTCTGCGAGTTTCTTTGCCTTGTGAACAAATGCTGGTATGATGTCGTCCCTGACACTTGCCACACCGTGTTTTTGATTGGCAGGTTTTGCTTATATGATTCTTCATGGTACAAACATAACAACGGCCACTACGTTTAAGGATCTCCTTCCGTTTCGTAACATTCGTGACTATGTACAGTTAATCGATACAGGGGCGGATCCAGGATTTTTCGTACGTTAGTCAAAGTTTTCGGATGTACAATCTAGTTTTGCGGGCGGCGAATGCGCGAGGCACCTAGGGGGTCTGTCCTCCAGGAAGTTTTATATTTTTAAACCACCGAAACGCAATTTGCATCACTCTGAAAGCATCTTCAACGAAAAATTAACTTCATGAAATGGGAGATAATTATAGCAACTACCAGTGTGACTGACTCCCACAACTCGCTCCTTAGGGAAAAGTAAAGGAGAAGTACTTGCAAAAATGTGATAATTGTGGAAGATGTTTCATTTCATCAAATTACGGATTGCTAGTATTACGTTTAATTAACTATCTCATGATAGTACTACACTCATTTTTGTTGCCTAATAGCCTTGTTGAGTCATTGATCACTTGACTAGTAATCACTACAGTGTCATATTACTCAAATAAACATATATCAATATTAAAGTCTTAACATTCATCTATAAAACGTTAACCTGACCTTTATATCCTACAGTATGTACACTGCATTAATGCATTTATATAGGCTATCCTCCATATTAATAGCATTCTGAGTTCTGACGGACCTTCAACCGCAAAATTACAAATATGCAAATTTGTTGTGTAAATCAAAATTCATAGCTAAATCTAAATCAAGATACGCGTACTCAAGTTACAATTTTACATATGCATGGCGCGCATCTTGTTCGCTTATAAATATTGTTATGCTGTCTAAAACGAAATAAAATTTACATATCACATTAAATTTACCTTATTGCACTTCAGAATAAAGATCTCAGCGCCAATACTTCTACTCAAACAGTCAAACTGTAGTTCGTGTTATTTGTGGCGCTTACGCCGCTTAGCAACTGCTCACTGAATGGAACTCTCCGATATTTAGCGTTGATTTTCCTCCCAAGATCAGCGCAACAGTATTAAAGACAGCTAAATCATTCACCGCAAATGCGGATTCAACCGTTTCGTGAATACTACAAGGACTGGAGTCTGGAGCAGCAGACATTTCCGAATTTTCCGTAGATATCTTTAAATTGAATCTTTCGACAAAGCTACAACATGACACTTCGAATGAGCGCGCGCTCGGAAAGACTTTAACACGCGTCAAATATTAATGATATTCCGACTAATGGAGCGCCCCTGACTTTTGTAAATCGGTCAGAACTCCCCACAGATCAGTCAAAATCGCAAAAAATCGCTTGTTACCATGGCAATAAGCGTCTAGACCAGTCAAAACACTGGATTTTGACTTTTTGACTGACCGACTTTGCGTATGTCAGCTGCTCATTGACTTGACTAAGCTCGTCGGCTCAACCACTGTATGAAATTTGATCACTGGACTACAGTTCGATTGGAATGTTAATTGCTAGCGCTGCATGATAATATAAACTGGACTATTATAAAGTGTCGCTGCATGATAAAAAATAACTGGACTATTGGTCGGATATTTAAGACTTTAATTAAGTTTGCAATTTTTACGTTAGTCGCGTGACTGGTTTGACGACCCCTAAATCCGCCCCTGAATCGATAAATGTGGTTGAGCACAGTAAATGCAGATATGTTCTCTATTTCCTCCAACCACAAATGCTGATGTTGTTGTAGGATCTTTTGGGCCAAAATATTTTTCACGATTTACTCTTTTATGTTCCTCCTGAGGGTTCTTAGTTGCTGCTACATTTCACATCGTTCTCTGTTTGCTAGTTCATCATTAAGTTGTTTTAAAACTGATTTAAAGTTCCATGACTTTTCGGATACTTTACTGCATATATCCAATCTAACTTCCTTTGGAATTTTGTTTAACAACAAAGGTAGAAATAGTTCGCCGTATTGTTCTGGTTTGCACCCCAGGGACTCCAGTGCCCTCATATGGGCTTCAATGTCATCGCTGAATTGTCTCATAGCCTTAAGATCTTTCCCATTTAAAACTGCTGGTAAGTTTATCAATAAATCCATGTGAGTACTAATAATTTTCTGAGAATCTCCGTATTTTTCCTTTAATAATTTAACTGCACCAGAATAATTTGATCCTGTCAGGGGAAACCCCTTAATGGCGGATGCCGCTGACCCACTTAACGACGCTCTCAAATACGAAAACTTGTCGATTTCACTCAAATCTTCATTCGAGTCAATAACCGACACAAAATTGTCCCAAAAGGATTGCCATTCAGTGTAATTTCCATTAAATGTAGACAATTGTAGCTTAGGAAGTCTAGCTCTTACCTTGCTACCGATTGAAACGCTCGATGTGTTGTGATTTCCCTCTTCTAGAGGCGGTGAACTTTCAGGTTGACTTGCGTTCTCGACATTTCTGCCTTCGTTTTCCTTTGATATTTTCGCTTCCTCAAGAGCTATTAAAGTCAGATTTATAGCGTCCGTAAACTCCGACGTCTCTTCGATTTCGGCTTCGATCTCCTCGTCTTTAATTCCCGATAAAATGGACTTGTCAAGGTCGTTAATCACGTCTCTCTTTCGCTCTAGCGTAGACTTGTAATGCTTATATTTTTGCCGATGTTCAAGTTTTCGTTCGTCAACTATCGTCTATTGTTCGTTCGTTTCACTTATTAAGGTTACAGAACACCTTTGAATGTTAATTTTGCCTAAAATTTTTTTATTGGTTTCCATGAAAGCATTAGACTAGTTCTACTATCTGACCAAGTTTGAACGAAAAATGTTGAAAACTCGCAGAGTTATTTAATAAAATACATTTCGCGGCAATAAGAAAAATATTGAAAATGTAATATTCAAATTCAATTTTCTCCCGAAAAAGTTTACGGTACTTACTGATTTTCAAACGAGTTGTGCTCCTGCGGATTTTAACCAATTTTTCTCAAATTTTCACAGGACATAGCTAGCTAAAGACGTCAGTTTCAAAATTGTGTTCGGCTTTTTTTTAATTTTGGATATTTTAAAAATAAAGAGCAATTCACTCAAACAATTCAGAAATATATTGCAGTCGTCAAAGAAACCGCCATATCAGCGGAATGACGAAATAAACAAAAATTTCCGAACACAATTTTTTAGAACAACTATTTTACTGTATAAAAATGATATTTTCATAAATATAACTTAAAACCAGCAGGAGCATAACTCAAAAGCGTAAAGGTACCGCGATTTAAGATTTTCCACAATAATTCTTACATTATTCTAGTGTTTGTTAATTTTACAACATTACCATATTTTGTAATGGAGAACATTTGGTGAAAATTTGATGAAAATCGGACTGATATTGAGCGCGTAGTAGCGATTTTCCGCAAAACGCCAAAAATGGTGTCCTGTAACCTTAATCGCCGTACATGTGTTTTGTGGGCTGTTCTTGATCTCTTGTCTCTCTCCAAGTTTTCTGCCATTGTAAATGCTTGAAATTCACCAAAATATCATATACTTAACTGTCTTCGGTTGCCAGAACAAATACTGGACTTCTCGCTTTGAATTTCAACTCTATTTTCGCTCGTAATGTAATAAAAATTTCGACTTTCCAATCCGGCTTGAAGGACCATTTAATCTAATTATTTCTCAACTCACATAGAGTTGAAATTAGGCTCTGCTGGAAAGTATCTCTGGGCGTCTTTTATCCACAAAATTTCTGCTTCGGACAATTCGATTTCGTCTAGCTCCAAGGTTGATGGTCGGTGTTCTTTCATTTTCCGCACAATTTTTACGAAGCGAACCACGTAGTAGGTGACACGAATGAGTTTCTCAAAATCGCTGTAATTCTGACAGTCGATTAACTCGCCAATAGTTGACTTCTCATCCTGAACCAAGGTTGTAGACACAGATTGTACTTCTTCAAATTCGAGCAATTGATCTACGAAATTATCCCCTTGAAACTTGAAATTCTTCGGCGCCAGCCAGATTCGTCACCTTGCAGGAAGTCCGGACCACACCACCAACTACGCATTTCTTTCAATTCCGATCCAAGTGAACCACGAGAAAGAACATCCGCGGGATTCTGGTCGGTTGGCACATGACGCCACGATTTCGGATCCATTAACTTCCTAAATTCTACAACACGATTTTGAATAAACAGTTTATACTCTTTTCCAGTCCCAATCCACCACAGGGCAATCTCTGAATCCAACCAACAGACAGCGCGATCAATCTTGTATTTTCCTTCCAGTTCACGTCGAATATGTGACATTTTAAATCTTGCAAGCACCAGCCCAGATAACAGTTCTAGTCTCGGAATTGTTTCTCCGCTTATGGGAGCTACTTTTGACTTGGATGCAA